CTCGGTGCGGTCCCCGGTGCGGTGCCGATGGGGGGGGGGGTGCGCGCGCTCTCGCCTCGCTGCTGCCGCCGCCGCCGCCGCCGCCTCCCCCGCACGGCCACCGGAACCGGAACCGCCGCCGCCGCCGCCCACACGCTTCCGGGCACGCGCGCGCGCGCGCACTTCCGCTTCCGGCACAGGCCCCGCCCTCACACACCCCCACCCCCGGCGGGAGCGCGCACGCACGGAGCCGCCCGCTCCCCGCGACGGGAGGAGGAGAGGGACAAACCCCGGCGGAACGCGGAGGGAGCGCGGGGCCCGGGGCCCCTGCGCGGGGATCGAGCCAGACAGGGACGCAGATGTGCAGGGATCATGGTATGTAGGGATGCAGATGTGAGGGATGCAGATGTGAGGGATGCAGATGTGCAGGCACGCTGCTATGTAGGGAACCAGATGTTCAGGGATCATGGTATATAGGGGTGCAGATGTGCAGGGATTCTGGTATGTAGGGAACCAGATGTGCGGGATCCAGATGTGCAGGGATCATGGTATGTAGGGAACAGATGCGCGGGGATTCTGGTATGTAGGGAACCAGATGTGCAGGGATCCAGATGTGCAGGGATCATGTTATATAGGGATGCAGATGTGCAGGGATGCAGATGTGCAGGGATTCTGGTATGTAGGGATCCAGATGTGCGGGGATCCAGATGTGCAGGGATCATGGTATATAGGGATGCAGATGCGCAGGGATCCAGATGTGCGGGGACTCTGGTATGTAGGGATCCAGATGCGCAGGCATCCAGATGTGCAGAGATCCTGCTATGTACGGATGCAGATGTGCAGATATCCAGATGTGCAGAGATCCTGCTATGTAGGGATGCAGGGATCCAGATGTGCAGATATCATGTTATATAGGGATGAAGATGTGCAGGTATCCAGATGTGTCGGGAATCTGGTTTATCGGGATGCAGATGTGCAGGAATTCCGGTATGTAGGTGTCCAGGTGTCCAGGGATCCTGGTATATAGGGATCTAGATGCACAGGGATCCTGGCATATAGACGTGCAGATGTGCAGGGATCCTGGTATATAGAGATCCAGATGTGCAGGGATCTGGATGTCTGGGGATCCTGGTATATAGGGGATCCAGATGTGCTGGGATCATGGTATACAGGGATGCAGATGTGCAGGGATCCTGCTATATGAGGGTCCAGCTGTGCAGGGGCCCCACTTGACTGGGATCCATCCATGCAGGGATGTTCCTGCATGGTGATGCAGCTATATAGGGATCCAGTTGTGCAGGTGTACAACTGTATCAGGATCCAGCTGTGCATGTGTATGACTGTATCGGGATCCAGCTGTGCAGGTGTATGACTGCATCAGGATCCAGCTGTGTAGGTGTATGACTGCATCGGGATCCAGCTGTGCAGGTGTATGACTGTATCAGGATCCAGCTGTGTGTGGATCCAGCTGTGCAGGTCCAGCCCTATGGGGGCCAGGCTGTACCGGGTTGGGGCTCCATGGGGGGACCTGCCCAGGGGGGCCGTGGTCTGGGGGGGCCGCTTTGACACCCACACGTGTCCACCCCCCATCACCCAGACCCCCCCACCCAGCTGCAGAACCCCCAGGGCACCCCCATCAATGCACCCCCATTTGCCTTCACCTGCCTTTATTGAAGAGGATGAAGGGGGCCTGGGGGGCACCGGCACCGGCATCACCCTATGAGGAGCCAGGACACGTGGGGTGTCCCCCCCCGGACACCCTTCATTGGGCAGAGCTTGGCCTGGATGGGGTTGGGATCATGTAGAGGATGGAGATCCCCAAAACCCCCCTTGTCCTGTGCACAGCCCCCAGCAGTGCCCATGAGCATCGTGATCCACTCAGTCCCCATCGCCTGTGCTCAGCATCCCCGCAGCCGGGTACCACATTGGGTGCTCCGGTGCCCCCCAGCATCACCCCACGTTGTCCCTGTGTCCCCCACACTGTGCCCGGTGACAGAGCTTCCCAGGGAGGATGGGGATGTTTCCCCCATCACAGGGCTCAAACAGGGGCACGGTTGGGCTTAAACCTTTGGGAAATGGCCCCACAGGTTCCAGTGGGGACAGGGATCCCCACTGGGGGCTGTGGGGGGCACTTGGGGTGCATCCCCCCCTGGTTTAGCACTGAGGATGGGGCTCAGCCTGCCCGGGGGGGGGAATGGACAGGCGGACCGAAGCCAGAGCCCACCCTGCGCCCTGCTCTCATCCTGCTCGCCTCGGAGCTGCTTTGGGTTGCAGAGAGGAAGGTGAGAGCAGGGGGGCTGCGCTGGGGCCACCGACCCACAGCAGCCGCAGTGTTGGGGTTCATCCCCCCACGGACGCCCCTGTTCAGGGGATCTGCTGCCCCCGGGAGCTGGGATCCCCTTTGGGGGCTGTGGGATGGGGATGGGCGCGGGATGCTCACTGCATCCATTGAGTGTATCCCAGGTGCCCCGATGGCTGCAGGTGCAAACCCTGATCCCACGCAGCGCCCAAGGACTTGGAGCCCTCCAGCCTCCCTCTTGCTCCTTATGGAAGCACTCAGGGGAGATCCATCGCGATCCACCAGGATCCATCACCTCCAAACTCCATCTCCCCTTTGCCAGTGGTGCCTTGGCTGAACCGGAGCATCCATGGAGCAGAAGAAGGAGCCCCCAGCCCCAGCCCCAGCCCCAGCAGGCACCATTTATACCGTACCCATACCCAGCGCTGATTTATGCCAGCACTAAACCTCTGTGGGGTTGGTTTATGCCGAGGAGGGGCCGCTGAGCTGTGCCCTTCATCACTTCCCCATCAGCTACAAGGGAGCAGCTCCAAAGAGGAATCATCGCTCTCCTTCACACGGGAGAGCCCTGTTCCCGACCTGGAACCATAGAACCGGGCTGGAAAAGACCTTCAGGACCGAAGCCCCCAGCTCATCCCCTCTCCCCCACTGCTGCCTCAATGGGGGTCACTGAGAGAGGGGGCTTGCAGAGGAATGGGGGTCACAAGCGCTGGGGTATCCATGGAGCCCTCCCAGCCCCGCTTCCGTCCCCTGCCTGCCAGCACGAGGACCGTGAGGACCGTGAGGACCGTGAGGACCGTGATGCGGGAACGGGGACCACGGGGCCACGTCCCCATCGCTCCGGAGCCCTGAGCCCAGCTCTGCGCTGGGAGGAGGAGGAGGAGGAGGAGGGAGCATGCAAATGCACCCACAGAGAGCAGCTCCCTCCAGGGGAGCAGTGGGGCGAGGGCAGCCCACGGTGGGGGAGCTCTTCCAGCTGCAGCAACGGGGAGAGCTCGTCCCAAGGCCCCCGACCGGGTCCCAAAGCCTCCAGTGCTGGTCCCCAAAGGCCTCAAGGTGGTTTCTAAACCCTCAAGCTCCACAGCCTTGAGCCCAGCTCTTTATGCTGGCCTGGAGGAGGGAACATGCAAAGGTACTCACATAGAGCATCACACCTCCCCAGAGGAGCAGTGGGGTGAGGACACCATGGGGTCCTTCTTTCTGCTGCAGCAAGGGGATAGGGCTGGTCCCAATGCCCTCAACTGGTCCCAGTGCCCTCAACTGGGTCCCAGAGCCCCTCAGGCTGGTCCCAAAGCCCTCAACTGGTCCCAGTGCCCCACAGACTGGTCCCAAAGCCCTCAACTGGTCCCAGTGCCCTCAACTGGGTCCCAGAGCCCTTCAGGCTGGTCCCAAAGCCCTCAACTGGTCCCAGTGCCCCTCAGGCTGGTCCCAAAGCCCTCAACTGGTCCCAGTGCCCCTCAGACTGGTCCCAAAGCCCTCAACTGGTCCCAATGCCCTCAAGCTGATCCCAAAGCCCTCAACTGGTCCCAAAGGCTCCCAGCTGGTCCCAAAGCACCGTTAGTGTTGGCAGGATCTCTGGAGCTCATCTGTCCGCCCGCTCTGGGGTTGTTGGGTGTCCATAGGGACATGGCACCACTGCCATTCCAAGAGGGAAGCAGGAGGTTTGGGGGGTCAGGGATGCGGCTTGCACTGCCCCAGGATGGATGCTCGTGTACTAGCTCCATGTGTGGATGCACAGAGACCGGTGTGCACACGTGTGCACACACATGTACGGGTGTGCACACACATGTACACACACGTGTGCGCTCCACATCAGGTCCTGGCTGTGATCTCATGACATTTATTAGCTCGGTGACAGGAGGGGACGGGGGGGACAGGAGGTGCTGGACACACAGGCAGTGACACCCCCTCCGTCGTGGCAGTGCAGGGCCCTCACTGGTGACAGCTACAGGGGGGGAATAGGGGTGCTCCGCGGTGCCCGGCTCCCTTCCGCATCCTTCTGCATCCCCACCGATGGGGACCTGCATGGGATGGGGATGGGGACCACCCCTGTGTCCCCAGGGCACATCCATCCCAGGTGGGCACCACCGCAGAGAGGGTCCCAGTGAGGCCCTGGGGGTGTTGCTGGCAGGTGGGGGGGGACACTGGGGGTCACCCTGGCCCTGCAGCACCGAGCTGTGACCCTGCAACACCCCCCCCACCCCAGGTCCCCCAGCCCCGGCCAAGTGTGGCAGCAGATGGGAGGTGAAATCTGGGCTTCCCCATCCCAATCCCAGAGCATCCCAGGACATCTCGAAGCATCCTGGAACATCCAGAGGCATCAAGGAGCATCCCAGAGCATCTCAGGGCATCCTAGAGCATCCCAGAGCACCCTGAGGCATTCTGGGCATCCCAGGGCATCCAGGGACATCCCAGGTCATCTTGGAGTATACCAGAGCTTCCAGAGATATCCTGGAGCATCCCAGGGCATCCAGGAGCATCCCAGGGTATCCCAGGGCTTCCAGAGATATCCCAGAGCATTCCAGGGCATCCTGGGGTATCCCAGGGCTTCCAGAGATATCCTGGAGCATCCTAGAGGATCCCAGAGCCACAGTGTCCCCCAGCTTCACCACAACCACATCCCTGCCTCGGTCCAGGGTCCCACTCCACAAACAGTCTTGGAGAGCATCAGACAAGGAGGTTGGAGAGAAACTGGAGTGGGGTGGGGGGGGGACACATGTCCATCTCTCTGTCTGTCTGTCCCCCCCGGGAGCTGAGACGGAGGGTTCGGATTTGGCACACGACACACGGCACAGCCCTTCCGGAATTCCCGATGCTCCGGCTCTGCAGGTGCTGTGGGACAGAATGGAGACAAATGGAGCTTGGGGGGGGGGAAGGTTTCCACATGCAGACCCCCATGTCCCCAGCACTGTCCCCTTTGGGTACCTTTGGGTCTATGTCACCTCCTCGCCCGTGTCCCCTGGTGCCTGCTGGAGCTGCTCCTGCTCTGTGGTCACCGGCGCCTTCTGCTCCACACTCGGCTCCTCGTCATTCCTGGTGGGACTCGGGCCCTGCAGCAGGAATGGGGGGGGCTGAGAAGGGGCCCAGGAGAGCCCTGTGGGATGCTCTGCACCCATGGGTGTCCCACGGGGATGGGACACACAGTGTGGCCATGACCATGGTGTGACTGGGACACCCCCAGTATGACCATGACCTGGTGTGACTGGGACCCCAGTATGACCAGGACCATGGCGTGACTGGGACACCCCCAGTATGGCCATGACCTGGTGTGACTGGGACCCCAGTATGACCAGGACCATGGCGTGACTGGGACACCCCCAGTATGGCCATGACCTGGTGTGACTGGGACCCCAGTATGACCAGGACCATGGCGTGACTGGGACACCCCCAGTATGGCCATGACCTGGTGTGACTGGGACCCCAGTATGACCAGGACCATGGCGTGACTGGGACACCCCTATGACCATGACCTGGTGTGACTGGGACACCCCCAGTATGACCATGACCTGGTGTGACTGGGACACCCCCAGTATGGCCATAACCTGGTGTGACTGGGACACCCCCAGTATGGCCATAACCTGGTGTGACTGGGACCTCCGACAGGACCATGACCTGATGTGACTGAGACCCCCAGTATGGCCATGACCTGATGTGATTGGGACACCCCCTGTATGACCATGACACTGGTGTGACTGGGACCCCCATATGACAATGACGTGGTGTGACTGGGACACCCCCAGTATGGCCATGAACTGGTGTGACTGGGACACCCATATGACCATGACCTGGTGTGACTGGGACACCCCCAGTATGGCCATGAACTGGTGTGACTGGGACACCCCTCGGATGACCACGACCCCCGTGTGTTTCCATGATTCCAGTGTGGCTGGGACCCCCATTGCCCCCATGCCCCCGGTGTGCCCTGCCCATGCCCCGGTATCGCCCCCCCCCAGCCCCTCCCGGGGCCTCACCTGGTCATTACCTTCCGGGGGGCTCCTGCGCTCGGTCCCGGTGCCCGGGGGCTCAGGGGGGGGCTCCTCGGCGGGCGCCGTGTGGGAGGCGGCTGCAGGGAGCAGGATACGGGATAACGGGATACGGGAATCTGGGAATCACCCCCGCGCTCTTGGGGAGGGGGGACATCACTTACCCTGCTCTGCCGCCTTGTCGCTGTTAACCCGCCAGCACCAGAAGGCTCCCCCCATGCTCAGCGCCAGCAGGATGAGGGTCAGGACGATGTAGCCCGACTTGGAGAAGCCCGATTGTCCCCCTGCGGGGCGCAGAGAGCGGCGCTGAGCCGGGCTCCGGGGGTGGCGGAGGGGGAACGGACCCGGTCCGGTCCCGGCCGCTCCGCGGGGCTCGGGGCTCACCTCCCGCCTGGCAAATCGCTCCCAGGTCGAAGAGCACGACCCGGCGGTCCGCGGGGTTGCTGACGGTGCACGCCAAGGTCCCGTTGGTGGCGGCGGGCGGCAGCCACAGCCGCAGCGTGGTCCCGTCCGGGGAGAGCTGGTGCCGCTCCGAGCTCCGCTCCCACTCGACGTTGTCCTGCTTCCAAGTGACGTTAACGGCGCCTTTCCCGGAGCCCTGGCACTGCAGGGTCACGTTGCACCATTCCAAGGTGCTGGCCAGGAGCTGGCTGCGGGTGCGGGGGCTCGGCACCGACTCTGCGCCGGGTACGGGCGATGGATCAGGTCGGGAATTCCCCCTCCTGCCCATCCCCGTGCTCCCAACGGGGCACAGACCCAGCGTGGGGAGCCAGGATTTGGTCTTGTGACGAGCTCGAGGTGCTGCAGGCAAAGGCTGGGGACACCGGGGTACCCCATCACCGCCCCGTGCCTCAGTTACCCCGCCTTCGGGCTCACACGGAGGACATTCTGCTTCCGCCCCCCCTCTCGCCCTCACCCTCACCCACCGTAGATGGAGAGGTTGAAGAACTGATCCTCCACCATGGCCGGGTGCAGCTTGATGCGGGCCCCATAGACGCCGCTGTCGCCGCGCTGCAGCGCCGCGATCCTCAGCCCCGTCTGGTTGAACATCTCCAGCCGGTCCTTGAACCGGTCCTTGGGGTCTGGGCGCTCGAAGCCACCGGGGCCCAGCTCTGCCACTTGGATGGTGGCCCCGGTGCCGGCCGAGAAGCTCCACTCGATCTCCTTCACCGTCCTGTTGGGGGGCAGAGCCGGGGAGAGCAGCACCGACCCCCCCAGGACACCGTTCACCTGCCGGGGCTGGGTCCGGGCTTGGCCAAACAGGAGCTCTGTGGACGAGGCACAAAGTCACCGTGGGGACGTGATGGGGACAGCACAGGGACAGCAGGGACAAGACGGGGACACAGCAGGAACACGCTTGGGGATGGGTCTCTTTACAGGGGTGTGAAGCAGCATCTCCCTGCCCTGGTCTCCTCTCCGCCGGCCGGTCCCAATCTGTGCTGGGGACTGATGTCCCCCCCAAAAGCCCCCGTATCCCTCCGGAGCCACCTCCTGTTCCAGCAGGGAAGGAAAGATGCTGGGCTTGGATTCTGCTCACTAAAGAATACAAAGCATCTACAGGTTCAGATGTGGGTGCTCCATCTGAACGAAGCATCTACAGGTTCAGATGTGGGTGCTCCATCCGTGCCCCGGCTGCGGCCGGGCTCTCACCAGAACAACGCTCCAAGAGAGTCTGGGAGGAATTCCCAGGCAGCAAACCCGCATTGTCCGTGTTAACGCGCGCCTCGGCCACGATCCCTGCGGAAGATCGACACGGGTTAAAGCAATGGGGGGCTCTGGGGGTCCTGGGAGGGATGGAGCCACCTCCGACGGGCAGGACCAGGGCGGTCTCAGGCAGTTCTTCCCTGTGAGGGTGCTGAGGCGCTGGCACAGGGTGCCCAGAGAAGCTGTGGCTGCCCCATCCCTGGCAGTGCTCAAGGCCAGGTTGGACCCAGGGGCTTGGAGCATCCTGCTCTATTGGAACGGGTCCCTGTCTGTGGTAGGGGTTGGAGCTGGATGAGCTTTAAGGTCCCTTCACACCCAAACTGTTCCATGATTCCCGTGGGGGTTTCAGCCCATCTGAGCCTCCACCGTGGGGTGTTTTTTTGGCAGCATCCTCAGCTCTGCAGCATCTCGGCATCACCTCCCTCGCTCCTGCAGCTCCCACCTACCCACAAGCTGTCTCCTCTGCCGGCCCCGGCCCCCGCGGCCCCCCACTCCCCTCTGCTGCCAGGATGACATCCTCCTCTTCTCCCTCTCCTTATCCCATCCATGGGATACGCACTTTCCCAGTGCGATGGCCCAGCCATCGGGATGGATAATGAGGTCAGGGCAAGCCGTGTTGCCCCCATCCCGCTGGGTCCAGGTTTAGGGGTCCCACATCCCCCCCTGTTCACCCCCCATCGCCTCCCCACCCGCAGGAGGCTGAAGCAGATGTGCCTGGATATGAAAGCAGATTAAATGCAGACTCTGAGTGTTGCCTTTGTATAACACACCCCCACCCCCCCCCCCCCGGCACGGTCCAAGCTGCCTCTTTGCTTTAGGAGAAGCAGCGCTCCACATCACTGGAGCTTTTGTTGTCCTGATCCCGCTTATCCCAGGCTCGATCCCGCTTCTTCCAGCCAAATCCTAAACCCAACCGAATCCCTGGCACGTCCCTGGGTGATCACAAAGTTTTGGGGTCCCGTCAAGCCTCTGGCCAAGCCTGGAGGGAGGATGCTGAGCCCATGCATGGGAATAGGGCGAAGGGGACACTGGGGGTCCTAAGCATCAGGTTTGGGGTCTGTGTTGGAACAGGAGGGGGCAGGATTGGCGTAAGGGAGCTGTGTATGTGTGTGTGTGTGTGCTGCAGAAGCTCATTTGGCTTCTTATGGAAGGTGCTCTTTGCCCACCCCTCTCAGCAGCCGTGCCAAGGCGGGAGGTGCTGCTGCCTGTCTGTCCATCAGCCTCCCTTGGGAGTGCTGCCCATCGTGTTTAAACAGGGGCTGCTCATTCAGGCAGCAGAACAGGGAGAGAACAGGCAGCAGAACAGCAGAGCACAGGGAGAGCACAGGCAGAGAACAGGCAGCAGAACACGCAGCAGAACAGCAGAGCACAGGGAGAGCACAGGCAGAGAACAGGGAGAGAACAGGCAGCAGAACACGCAGCAGAACAGCAGAGCACAGGGAGAGCACAGAGAGAGCACAGGCAGCAGAACAGCAGAGCACAGGCAGAGCACAGGCAGAGCACAGGCAGAGCACAGGCAGAAGAGCACAGGCAGCAGAACACAGGCAGCAGAGCACAGGCGGCAGAGTACAGGCAGCAGAGCACAGGCAGCAGAGCACAGGCGGCAGAGCACAGGCGGCAGAGCACAGGCGGCAGAGCACAGGCGGCAGAGCACAGGCGGCAGAGCACAGGCAGCAGAGCACAGGCAGCAGAGCACAGGCAGCAGAACACGCAGCAGCTGGAGGAAATTCCGGCTGGGAATTGCTGGCCGGGGCCAGGGCATCCTCCTCTCGCCTCGTCCTGTTTATCCCGGGATTCCGCTGCCAGACCCTGTGCCAGCATCCGGCAGGCGGGTGGGATGTAAGCACCTCGCTGCATCCCGCTGCTCTCAGCACCCGGATTACTCCAACTCAGTCTCCATTAAACCTTAAAGCCAGGGCTACGTGACTGATTCCAGCCCGGGGTCCATCACCACGACCTCAGGTTTTGCTCGTCCTCATCCCCCGCCCCCTTCTGATATCCAATAAATTGGATCCAAAAAAGCAGCTGGAAAACTCCCAAGCGCCGTTAACGGCCCATTTCCCATGGAGCTGGGTCAGAGGTTTGGCATCACCGGCGCAGGGCTGGCACCTTGTGCCACATCCCTCCCGCCCCAGGGCTGCTGACAGCTCGTCTTGCTCCTCAAGCTAATTACTCGCTAGGCAGATAAACCCCCCTGCGCTAATCTGCCCGCAGTATTAGATGCTTTCTGTAGGAATCAGAGGTTTTATGGGAATTATTAAAAGTGTGGATTAGCACGCTGGGAATTAAGGGGATTCCTCGCTCCTGCTTTATGTAAGGAGGAGGAGACACGGCCCTGCGGGGGTTAAAGGGCTCTGTGGGGTGACAGCGGCCCCATGGCTTGAAGCCACGTTAGGGGTGAGGGGATGGAGCCCGGGGGGATGAAGCCGGCGGGGGGCAGCGGCTGCTCTCTCCGTTAAAAGCTGGACCCGCATTCCAGGAACCATCCGGGTGCTGGGATGGTCGGGATGGGCTGCAGCGGCAGGGAGCAGCAGGATGAGGTCCGCAGCCCTGCCCGCTGCCCACCCCGTGCCGCGCTGCTCCCATGGGATGAGGACGCGGTGCCCACCGAGCCCCGCACTCACCTGGCCCGAGGCCGAGCAGCGCCAGGAGCAGCGAGGGCAGCCGCGCTTTGCTCCGGGCCAATTCCCGCTCCATTCCTCCTCCTCCTCCTCGGCTCCCGGTGCGGCTCCGTCGGCAGAGGCAGAGACGGGGAGGAGCAAAGCCGCTACAACCCGTAGGAAGCCCAAGCGCATCGCGGGGCACAGCCGGCTAATTAATAATTAGCTCCCCATAATTAAGTGGCCGGGGGTGGCATCCGCACTGATGAGGATGCTCAGCGGGGGCTGCCCGAACCCCCCTTCGTTATCCCGGTTCAGTACCCGGATTAACGGCACAGCCGTGCCAGGTCACCCGCCGGCCCTGGGGAGCTCGTTGGAAAGGGGCTTCCCAAAGTTAAGAGCATTTTCCCTTGGGAATTGCAGGCAGCGGGAGCATCCTGCGGCTGGGGGCGGTCCCACTCCCAATAGGAGGTACCCGAGCACCTTTGGGTGCGGAAAACTGCACGGGAAGGGATGTCCTGGAACGATGCGAGGTCTTGGCTGAATCCCAGAGGAAACCCCTTGGGAATAGGTGCTGTGGCGGGGCTGGTGGTGGTGCTGAGGCAGAAATGGACCCGCCGGGCTCTGCCAGCCGGGATTGCAGAGCTCTGAGCTGCTGCGGGGGCTGGGGCTGGAAGGAAACTTCCCATGAGCAGCACAAAAAGCTTCTTTCTTGTTTCATCCCTCCCGCAGCTCCAAGTGGAAAACAGGGATGAGGGGAAGCAGCTTCCGCAGCGCGGTGGGGATGGGGTTTGCCACCTACTACGAGCCCAAGCATTAACCCGCACCCAAGGGGTGATCGACTCCATCGGGGTCCCCCCAAGGGGTGCAGGCAGCTGAGCAGGGGCAGGACCCGCTGCCTCTCCGGAGGGCTGAAGGGAAATGGAAGCTGCTGAGTTGGAAGTTCCAGTTTCCAGGGAAAAGCAGCTGATCCTGGGAGCGGAGGAGGAGGAGGATGGCACGGCTGGGAGCTGTGGGGGGCATCCATGAGGAGATGGGGCTCCAAACACCCGGCGCCGTGGGGTTCCACAAGCAGGACTTTGGGAAACACTGAGTCCATCTCTCCCCCCCCCATCACACTGGGAAGTGCCACGGGCTCGATCCTCTGCAGGGATTCGGGGTGTCCATCGGACCCAGGATCACTCCCGAGGTCGTCATTCCCACTGGCACATGAGCTGCATCCACCACGGGATGTGGCTCTTTGGCATGTGGCAGCGAGGGATGCCCCAAAGCACAGGGAACAGCAGTGCAAAGCAGAGGGCTGGTGAAGGTGGGAATGGAGACCTGAGCCACCACCGTGTCCTGCCTCAGGGATGTGCCACAGAGGGACCTCGGGAAGCTCCAGCAGCTCCACAGCAGCCACCGTGGTCCAGCAGTGATGGAGCCCAGGGAGGGCACTGGGGCTGCCAACACCGCCCTTTGCAGGGCACGAGGGACCTTGTGGGTGCCTGGAGATAGCAGGAGGCCCCCAAAAGACCCTCACCCTCCCCTCTGATCCCTCTGCAGACGGGATGCACCCTGGCACCCCCGTTCCCTCATCTGGGCCATGGTGCCTCTGGTCCCGCTCTACGTGGCACTCCCAGGAGGAGGTGGGACCACGCAGGGCTCTTTGAATGCAGCCAGCTCCTGATTTTGGGGTCTGCAAAGGGAGGAGGGAGGCCGGGAAGCTCAGAGCCGGAGCTGCCAAGTGCTCCCCGGCCTCGCATGCTTGGGGGGAGCACAGGGGCTTGATGACAGGCAGGAAACACCGGAACCCACAGCACCCACGGAGAGCTCAGCTCAGCGGGACCCGAGCTTGTCCCTTTGCACACAGAGCGAGGGGACTGGGGGGGGACGGACGAGGGGCCCCAATCTGTTCCCAGGCTTAAAGAGCAGCCATAGCGACGGAGGAGCTGCTCTCACCTCCAGCCTGCCTCTGCGAGCACACAACGGGGATGGAGAGGTTGATCCTGCACCAACGCCCACTGTCGTCCTGCTCGGGTCATAAACCATGGAATAGTTTGGGATGAAGGGAGCTGAAAGCTCATCTGCAGCCACAGGCAGGGACCCCTTCCACTGGAGCAGGATGCTCCAAGCCCTGTGTCCAACCTGGCCTTGAGCACTGCCAGGGATGGGGCAGCCACAGCTTCTCTGGGCACCCTGTGCCAGCGCCTCAGCACCCTCCCAGGGAAGAGCTTCTGCCTCAGAGCTCAGCTCAGTCTCCCCTCCCTGTCAGGTTAAAGCCATTCCCCTTTTCCTGTCCCTGCAGCTCGAGGGCTCCGCTCACAGCGCACAGGTCACCCCGGCGGAGGGGCCGCCGAGCCGCAGCGGACCCGCGGCGCTTCACCGCCCACCACGGCCGACAGGGACGGGGCCGCGCTGCGGGAACCGGCACCGCCCCCAGCGCTCCGCAAACCCCATCCCCTCCGCGGAACCGGCCCGGCTGCTGCGGGCGGCACCGGGATCGGGATCGGGATCGGGATCGGGACCGGGACCGGGACCGGGACCGGGACCGGGACCGGGATCGGGATCGGGATCGGGATCGGGATCGGGACCGGGACCGGGACCGGGACCGGGATCGGGATCGGGATCGGGACCGGGACCGGGACCGGGACCGGGACCGGGACCGGGATCGGGATCGGGATCGGGATCGGGATCGGGCCCCGCTCAGCGCCGCAGGGCCTGGCCGCCCTCGGACGCAGCGTTATGACGTAATAGCCCCGCCCCATGCCTTGATCTCGCCTGTCAAATCTCGCGAGATTGGTGGGCCTGTAAATAGGCCATTGGTGGGGGTGGGGGTGGGGGTGGGGATGGGGATGGGGATGGGGATGGGGATGGGGATGGGGATGGGGATGGGGATGGGGATGGGGATGGGGATGGGGATGGGGATGGGGATGGGGATGGGGATTGGGATTCCTTCTTCCTAGTGCCGTGGAGTGGTTTTGGATGACGGGACCTTAAAACTCGTTTAAAGCCATGGGCAGGGACCCCTTCCAAGCCCCATCCAACCTGGCCTTGAGCACAGCCAGGGCTGGTGGCTCTTGGAGCTCCATGGTGGCTGTTGGAGCTCCATGGGGGCTGTTGGAGCTCCATGGGGGCTGTTGGAGCTCCATGGGGGCTGTTGGAGCTCCATGGGGGCTGTTGGAGCTCCATGGAGGCTGTTGGAGCTCCATGGAGGCTGTTGGAGCTCCATGGGGCTGTTGGAACTCTGTGGTGGCTGTTGGGGGCCGTTGGAGCTCTATGGTGGCCGTTGGAGCTCCATGGGGGCTGTTGAGCTCCATGGGGCTGTTGGAGCTCCATGGGGGCTGTTGAGCTCCATGGGGCCGTTGGAGCTCCATGGTGGCTGTTGGAGCTCCATGGGGGCTGTTGAGCTACATGGGGGCTGTTGAGTTCCATGGTGGTTGCTGAGCTCCATGGTGGCTGCTGAGCTCCATGGTGGCTGTTGAGCTCCATGGTTGCTGCTGAGCTCCATGGTGGTTGCTGAGCTCCATGGTTGCTGTTGAGCTCCATGGTGGTTGCTGAGCTCCATGGGGCTGTTGAGCACCATGGTTGCTGTTGAGCTCCATGGTTGCTGCTGAGCTCCATGGTTGCTGCTGAGCTCCATGGGGCTGTCCCTACCCAAGCTCCAGGCTGTGGGCCCAAGTTCCTCTCCCTGCCTGGCAATGTTGCTGCTCTGGGATGGGTTTTCCTGAGGGCAGGAAAGTGTTGATCCCTGGTGGAATCCTACACCCAGATCCTATGGGGTTGAGGGCACAGGGCTCACCAGCCCCATCGAGGTGGGAACAGGCACATGGGGATGCAAGCGGGAGCAGATCCTGCGGTTCACCCTAAATCCCACCCACTCCAAAGGAGGGAAAGGAAGGGGGAGGAAGAGCAAGGGAGAAAGAGGAGGAGGCTGCGGAATAGCTTGGAATCCATCGGGATGAGCGAGGCGGTGCTGAGGAGGGGGCGTTCTATCCCGGGGAATAGAAGCGGCTTCTTCCGCAAGGAGACACCCCCAGGGCTTGCATTTGGGATGTCTCTGGAGCTCCCGGCTGGGTTCACACAAGGATGTGATGTTCTCCTCTCCTCCGTGCCCATCCATCCGTGCCCCGGTGCTTCCATGGGCTCCGCTGCTCCCCGCTCCAGCAGAAGCCATTAGGAATGACAAAGTGGTTTCCGAGATGGGTCCCGGGAGCAGCAGGGAACTTGCCTGGTTCATGCATAATCAACCAGGCGTGGAAACACAGCAAGGAATGGGAAGCGGAGTCCTTCAGTGAGGCTGGCTGCAGGGGGCTGTGCAGGGAAAGCAGGGATTAAGGATCGAACACATCCGGGAGGAGCTGGGGCATCCCCCGCGCCCATCCTGGCATCGGAGGAATAGCTTGGAAAGAGCCTGGCTGCACCCTGGGCTGCTTGGATGGGGTCTGCAGGGGGTGGGAATGGGGCTTGGGATGGGGTCGGCGGAGGAAGCTTTACCCTGTGAGGGTGCTGGGACACTGGAATGGGTTGAATGGAGAAGCTGGGGCTGCCCCATCCCTGGCAGTGCTCATGGGGCTTGGAGCCCCCTGCTCCCATGGCAGGGGCTGGAACTGGATGAGCCCAAGGTCCTTTCCACCCCATTCCATGATGCTGTCTCTGAAACCCCCCTTCAAGTGGTTGCAGGCTTCTACAGAGTCACTTTAGGTTGAAGAACATCCCTCAGCAAGAGGAGGCTTCAAGTGAATGGGTGATGCCCTCGGCATGCAAAACTCCACGGGAGAGCAGTGGGAAAAAACAGTGCTTTGGATTGGGAACTTCCGTGTGCCCAGTGCCACCACTGGAGCAATGTGACCGTCGTGCCAATGCCACCCACCCCACCGCGCTGCTCCCGCGGGACAGAAGCGACCCACAGACCCCTTTTTGGACCATTTATATTTATATATATATATAAAAAAATTAAATATATATAATATATCGTGTTTAAGACTAAAAATATAGTACAGAATATTTAAAAACAAAAGGAAAGGAAAAGGAAACATAAAAAATGGGGAGGTTTTGGGGAGGGGGGGCTCACAGATACGTGTCTCTGGGGTCTAAACCAGCCTGTGCTAAGGAAGGGGCCCCTCACCCGGAGCTTTGGGGGGCTCCCATGGCCGGGGGGGCCCTTCCCCACCCCGGGGGAGGTTGGATTTAAAGCTTCAGCTTCTTGGTGCGGCGCCCGGGGTGGCTGGTCCCGTGCTGCTGCGGGGGTATTGCTATCGGTGTGGGGTGCAGCACCCCAAAACGGGGCTGTCCCCCCCCCCCGGGGATGCAGGGGAGGGTTTGGGGGTGTTGGGGGGGTACATCAGGCACCATTGCAAGAAATGGCACGTGGTCCTGCAGTCGGAGGCTCTGGCTGGGCGCGGGTCAGGGCTTGCCCCGTGCTGACAGTACCTTGTGGGGGGGTGAGGAGGAGAAGAGGGGTGTGGGGAACCCCCAAGATGTGCTGGATCTGCCCCCCCCCCCCCCTTCCCAACCCTCCCAGCAGCCCCTTGGTATCGTACCTGGCTCCAGGGGTGCGCAGTGGGGTAGGGACCATGATGCGCATCCCCATGATGCAGATGGGGA